ATATATATATATATATATATATATATATATATGTCCAAAAAAATCATACCACATATAATTTTACATCCCAAAATTTACATGGGATATGACTTTTTCGGATGTAAAATTTCGAAAATTTTGATGTCATATTCCATATAAAATTTTCAAATAAAATGATAAAAATTATATTGAGAAATTTGTATAGAAAAAATAATAAATATTAATAAAATAATTGAATTTTTTAAAAAAATGCGAGTTAGACGTCTTTTTTTAAGACTCACGTTTAACGTATTTTTAACTATTTTCTATATCTATTTGACTATTCGATATGCCTATAATGTAATTTTCGAAATAAACTTTGAGATGATATAAACAATTTGTAGATTCGATTAGCGTACAATCATTGGAGAATTTTTAAAATTAGCACGTTATTGAAATTCAAATTTATTGTATTTTGCTCGTTTGGTGGAGATTAAAATCAAATTTTTAGTAAATTTTAATAAAAATTAAACAGTTATGGGTTACATGAAATATGTTATTAAAATTAATTGCTAACTTTGATTTATATTAAAATTTAGATTTGAATCGATACCAAACACGATTTTATAATGAAATAAAAATAAAAAATAAAATCTCAAAAGTTGGGGGTTGTTCTCCAGGACCCTCCTAGGTCCGCCCATGTATATATATGTACATATCCTTATCCTTACAATATATAAAAGAGACAACCTTCTTGCACTGTTTTTAAGCCAAATGGCCAAGTAAGCCGAGCCGTTTTCGAGCCAGTCGGTTAGTCGAGTCAGCCACGTCCATTTTTTTGCTTTTTTTCCCCTCTTGCTGTCATTTCTCCTGACTTTCTCCATTTCTCCAAGCAATGTCCCATGCTTCTTTCATTTTTCTTTCCTTCATTTTCTCTCAATCGGTTTCTCTACATCCTTCCCTCCCCCCTTCTCTCTTTCTCGCGATTTCGTCTCCTTACACAGATTTCTCTCTATCTTCTCTCATTATGTTCGTTTTTTTTGTAGATTAATGAGTTATATGCTCTCCATTTTTATTTATTTCGTCGTATAAAAATCTGATTTTGATTTTTTTGTCTCACATTCAGGAATTAATTTCTTTCGAGAGAATGAAGTGCAGTTTCGAAAGGTCTTTAGTTCAGTAACCAGATTGTTGTTTTCCTTTACTTAAAAGAAACACCCGAGCATGCTCCAGTTCAATCGTATGTTATTTGATGACCTTATGCACATGGTTGGTGCCATAGATATTTTAGGCTGGTTTTTTTTGGTAATTCTTCAGTAGTAAGGTGAACAATATCAACTGGAAATCTGGAATGAATTTTGTTACTGGATAAAGTTTGATTTGTGCTCTTCGATTCTTGAGAGGCGGCTCTCCACCAAAAACCAGTACTGGATTTTGGGTTGGGTTTCTGGGACTGGTGTGAGCTTCACAATCAAAGTCCATGATGACTCAATTCCTAAATCCCAATAGCTTATTGTCATGTTCCCCTCAGGTACGCGAGTATTTGGTGCATCACATACATATTTGGTGTGTTTTATTGATCTACATGAGAATTTTTTTGTCTTTCTTCTTGGATTTTGTAAATGAGAATTGGGTTTTTTGGTTGCTGTGAGTGTGCAGAAGGAAAGAATGATAGATGAGGATATGTATGTGTTGTTACCAAATGGATCTATTTTATCTGAACCATTGGCAAAGCCCCATAAAGCTCCCAAATGTTCTGATTGAGCTCCCTTTTCACGATGGTATATTTTACCCTTATTCTACACTAAGTTTTTGTTCTTGAGGGTGTCTATAACGTGCATTTATTGCCAAGTGGTTCGGGTTGCCTTTAAAATTTGGTTTTCATCATGCTAAAATTTGGCTAAAGTTTGTCCCTTTGGATTGTACATATAGGTTCCGCTCTTCTTATTATTCTTTTTATCATTGCAATGATATCCTCACTGAGAAATTCCGTTTATAGAGCCAAAATATTTTTTTTATGTATAATAAAGCTTCTCTAAATTGGTGACTAATCAGCATTCCCATATTTAGAAGTGTGAAGTTTCAGTACAATAGTGCGCTTATTGTTTAGGTATTTGGATAAATAGGATTACAACTATGTCGAGCTATTTGTTTAGGAAAATGGATGTTGTTAGGTGAAAATGATATCAATGGTCAATTTGTAACTTTATTCTATATTTAATTTGTTATTATATAGCCCTCTTTAAAAAAAAAAAAAAACTTCGTACACAGAGAGAGAGAGAGAGAGAGAGCCAATCTGCAATCTTGGTTTGGTTTGGTTGCTTGTAGCTAAATAAAGGTATATTTCTTCATCTTCGTTTTCTAATCCTCTCTCTGGAATTGGGATTTTGGCAGGAAAAAACCTTGCTGCTGTTTGCTACTGGGCAGATGAGGTTAAGCACCATTACAACTATCGCTGAAATAGTTCTTTACAGTATGTTGATACACCTGACTTCAGGTGCAGCTACAAGTATTGCAGTAAGATCAAATCTCTTCCTCATTAATTTGTATCCATCAGTTTTAGTTTGTACATCTCTTAAACACTATCCATTTTCAGAATTTGACAAGAAAATAAATACCGTTTAAGTTACTTAGGTAATGTCCTGTTTCGACAGAGTTGTGATGGTTACGGTTGCATATTACTGCATGTTTCTGTTTGATAATCACGTACATTATCGTTTTTAATTCTCAAAGGCAGAATTCAATTGTTTTCTTGTTGTCCTTCTTAGAAATCATTTGTGGTCTCTATGTTCTTTTTAGGTTTCTTGTATTGCTACTGAATATATAAATAAATATGGCTTCTCTCATGAATTTATATACTCTATTATTAAGTGTCATGGCCATATAAATTGGTCATGGAGCAGCAGAGACTAATTCATGATTATCATGATTTATTCTCAATTTTGTGATATTATTTCATCACCTTCTGTCCTACCATCGAAAGACATATATATCTTTATTTGAAGTTAAAAAAATTCTCAAGAGAATATAACTCATAAGTTGTTACTACCTGATAAGAATATTTGATTAATCTCTTATCCAATTTCTGCAGGAGATTGCCATGACGCTTCTGGACACAAAGATAGGTGTGTCACTGGAGCAATTTATAACTATACCAAGCAACTTGAGTCAGCTTCTCATGATTCTGATTCATTAGGATTAAAATGTAAGAAACAATAATTAGTTGGTTTGGTGACACCATGAAAATTGGACACTCATTTTTTTCAACGGCCGACAACTTGACAGAGGCACTCATGTTCTTATCTCATTTTGTTGGTGATGTCCATTAGGTCAGCTCATCTTTCATAGGCCTAAATATTATTTGAAAGTATGAAATTGATAGTGCAAAGTAACAGAGATTGCAGAAAAATCTACTTAACAATTTTAAAGTGACATTCGTATTGAAAAAAAGAAGGAACACAGGTTTTGTTGAGAGGCATTGACATTTGAAATTTTCTTTCGCTCATCACTTGAAGTTTACATTCTATGGAGTGAAAAACTTGTTAATTACGATATCTGGCATATAAATAATTAGGAAGTTTTATATTAAGGTTCTTAAATCTACTTTCTTTTAACAGCAATACTATATGATATCGCTCCTTGATATTTACCAAGTGAAAATGTTGGGCATGTAATGCATGAATATTGACCCCTGCTTGTACTGTAAGGATTAAAATGACATTTTATTGAAAGTAAAACCTTCAGTTCTTTTATATTTTATGCACTTAACCCCCTTAATGGTAATTTATTTAACCAATGTATGAACACACAAGAGGTCTCTTATCTCATGCTAGGACATTTCTCTAGGAAATATATATGTAGTCACAATTGTCTGAAAAATCCATTTTGGTTGGCAGCCACTACATGTTGGTTTTATTGGAGACGAGGGTGGAAACACAATAAAAGTCCGTTGGTACACGAGGAAAACTAATTTGCACCATGTAAGTTGTGTAACTTTGGCTTCAAAGTTTTGAACATCATCCATTTCCCTACACATATGTTCTCGAGTAAGCAACATAGGTTCAAACTTTCTAGATCAACGATACTGATATTCTGTCCAAGTGATGAGATGCAATCTGGTATTTCTTTCCATAACAATCAAGTGGTCTCTGCCATTTTTTGAGCCACTTTCTTTCTAATTATGACCACTTACTCCTTCCTGCATGCGACATCTCCACTCCCTTTTGCATCCCCCCAAAACGTTATTGTTTCAGGCCTTTCATGAAATCAAATTATCTTGAGAAAGGATTTTGCTTAAACTCTCAAATTCATTTTCTAAGATGACTCTCATAAGATGCTGCCAAGTTTGGATTTATTGATGCGTTTGGTCCATATAATTTTTTTGCTTACTTTTAATGCTATTTTATTGTCATATTTACATTATTGCAGGTATGGGATACTATGATAATTGAATCAGCCATGAAAACATTCTATAACAAAGATCTCAATGAAATGATTCAATCTATTCAGAGCAATATCACTGTAAGATTCAAATGAATCTTTCTATTGCATTTGTGAATAAGACATATTGCAGGGTCTCAGATGTAACAGCAACAAAGATGCCTCAAATATTTATGTTTTTCAAAATGTCATTTAGAACAACTTAAATATTTTTTCTGAAGAATATTTACTTAATGAACCTTGTCATTTCCATAGCGTCTATAAACACTGTTGGCCAGATTCTGAAATTGTGAGAGATTTTATGCAGTTCATGTTCTTATCATCTTTTTTCTTCTCTGTTTTTAACTGGCAATAGGAGGATTGGTTGGCTGATGTTCCATCTTGGGAAAATTGCAATGCTACAGTTTGTCCAGATACGTTAGTATATTTTTTGTCCTTGTTTCTATTTGCTTGTTTGCAGTGGTTGTGAGATATTTATTTATTATGTGCATAAAAAAATCATGTGAATTTTTTCTTCTCCTCTTTTGTTTTTCAATCTTCTTGACATACATATTGGATCCTGTCATCCTGATTCGTATTTCCTTAGATCATCAAATGCTTAAAGAGAATGAGTTTTAGTGGCAGTTGACAGCATTAATTATTTTGACATGTAACATCGAAGTTGATGAATTGCCTGGCTTGATCTGAGAAAAATATGAGAACTATATGGGTTTGGGATCATGGATTAATCTCAAAAGTGATTTTCATTGTTGGAGCTGACTTTCTATGATGGTTTTTAGCAGGAAAAAGGAGGGGAGTCATCATTACAATGATTGGTGGGATTTTATTTTTTATTAATTTCCTTCTCTCCTATAAATTTTGATCGCAATGCACTACCCTGGTTTTTCATTCTTTTAAACATATGCCATATGTACATGTACTCTCTTTAGTGTAATCACAAGCATGGCCAAGTTAGAAAGTTTGCCACTATGAATTTATTAACAATGGCAGCTCCACTACCATAGTGTGAGGTATTAGGTCAGTATGCAAACCAGAAAACCACATGCACTATTAACTCTTTGAAGGTGGAATGAAGCAGTAAATGTGAGAAATGGTGGGGTACAATAATCAGTTCTTAGTAATTAATAATGTTGAACAACAATTGCAGGTTGGCACTGAACCAGATTTAGTTCTTTTCTTTGATTGCGCTGAAGAAGATATGATGAAACAAGTGCTAAATCATAATCAGGTGCTGTTCTTTTTTATTTCTTTATCTCCTCTCTATCTTGCTTCTCTTCTTGCCATAAGAAAATAATGGTGATATCGTTAGATTTAAGGACGAGTTGATGATGATATATATACAGTCAAGGAAGGTTTTTACGTCCTTTAATCTTCCTGTGATCAAATACTACTCTGAGAAAGGCAAACTTTACAAGGTACTGATTTGGTAGATTATCGACAAATATTTATAGTTTGGATTGTCCTCCTATTCAATCAAATGATATTTTTCTATGTTATGAGCTTTGAATGACATAATCCTGGCTGCTTTTCACCCATGCTGATAGAGGAAATTAATCAAATATAATGTTCTTGGTTTCGTTTCGTAACTTCTATGAATGCTTTATCAAGTATTAAGCACACAACTGTTAAAATTACAAAATCATGTGCAGATCGACGCTACTGGAACAGAAGACGAAATATTTAAGCGAGTCTGCCATGTTTTTGCTGCATTGAGGTATATCGTGTAGTGCTCTTTTTTGTGCAGCACTTAAATTAATTGGGCGCTTCTCATTTCTCACATTTGGGGAAATGTGTGGCGTATAGTCTCAGGGGAAAAAAAATTTTTACTTCAAATTTTCTAATTTAGATCCTGCTGCTTGATTTCTAATTTGAGCAACGGAAGAGCAAGTGCTCAAGTTGTTTATGTTTAATGAAATTGCAATGTCATTGATGTAAACATATGGAGTCTCATTTAGGCATGTAGTATGAATCAGATGCCCAACTTTTGTAAATATATGAATTTGGAATTCCACTATGCACTTAGGGTTAAAGTATGTTATGAAGAAGATTTATTGTAATTGAAAGTTCAGATCATGGTAAATGTAATTTCGGTTTCTATTTCTATTATGGTAATGTTTATTCAATTTTAGAATTTGAATTTCTTGTTATTCTACAGTCATTTTATAATGAATTAGAGCAGTTGGTTGTGGTGGTAATGTTGGTTCGTGTTGCGGTGAATATGAAATTTCTGTGTTCTACAAATTTCGTGCTTCTATAATGAATGCAAAGATATGAGGAATTGTTTTTACTTATTGATGAGTATATATTGTTAGTTTTTTCTTCATTGTGGGTTGCTATGTTTCTTCTTGAAAGTATAGGATTCTGTATTCTGTCTCCATCAGTTCAAGTTTTTCTCACGCATTTTTTGTGAGAATGTGTGCTTTACTCAAACTCTTCAGAATTATATGGGTTCTTAAGATAGCTCCTAATTTGTCGAAATTTTTTTTTCATCAAACTTCAGACTAACTTTTCTGATCTTCTTTGCTCTTTCTTCGTATTTTTATTATTCAATTTATATAATTTATCAAAGAAATATTTCCCTATCAAAATGAATATGATATATTTGAGACAGTTTTTAAGTTTTTGATAGTGCCGCAAAAGTTCTGTACTTCTTGTGGGAAGTGACTTGTCTATGCTGAGAGTAAATTATCCCTTGGAATTCATTATTCGATAATCATGCTTATTTTTTGATGGTCTTGAAAATAGTTAAGTTCTTTATCCTCGGATAGGAGTCAGGTTGATGTTTATTGACTAATCCAATCTAAGTTATGAAGCTGGCTCCACCATGGATGTGTAGTATTAAATATTACTTTGTGAGTAGAAGTGTTTCTTAAGGTGTCACTGTATAAGAAAATTGAAGCTATAAGATAAGATGTCATACTTGTAAATTGTCTAATTTAAAGGTGCCTAATTTTCATGTTATTTTTGCTATTATTCAATTCTAAAATTACAAAAATTATAACGGTTATCGTGCAACACACGATGCACACTAGTAGAAGTGAAAAAGGGAAAAATGACCCTCAACCCCAACGGCAGCCTCCCCACTCAGGCAGCACGTTGGAAGTGAATGTCGGTGGTTGC